TTTTAAGAAAAAATGGTATGTAGTGCTAACTTGACACCATACACCTACTCGATAGAATTGAGATATCCAATATGTTACTATGCCATTAATTGTAGCTTTTAACTTTAAAATTTGTTTTGGAAAAAAAATTTGTAGCTTTCGTTTTTCTGGAAAAAATTGAGTTGACCCTTTTTCGAGCAAAATTTAGTATGTAGTCCTAACTTGACACCATGCACCATTGACGACAGAATCGAGATATTGAAAAGGTTACAACGGCATTAATTGTAGCTTTTTTGTTGTAAATTTGTTGTGGAGAGAAAAAGCTTGTAGCTTTCGTTTTTTATGAAAAAATGGTATGTAGTGCTAACTTGACACCATACACCTAGTCGATAGAATTGAGATATTGAAAATGTTATAACGGCATTAATTGTAGCTTTTAATTTTAAAATTTGTTGTGGAAAGAAAAAATTTGTAGCTCTCGTTTTTTTAAGAAAAAATGGTATGTAGTGCTAACTTGACACCATGCACCTTTGTCGACAGAATTGACACATGAAAACATTTTGTGATAGGTATTGATCGTCCAAAGGCCCAAAACAATTACTTGACACACGGATGGTTTACAAATATTTTTAATTACTGATTATAATAAATTTAGGAAAAAGATGCAATCTTTTAAATTTTAGCTGCCTGTATCCATAAGGGATCAATGTTTACCACGCACCAACGAAACAAGCATGCGTTTTTTCGTACCAGGAGAAAGCATCGAAAGCCTTTACCTTATGAATGCATAAGAGTCCTGCAGTAAAATTACGAGACAGTCTGGCAAAGCGCTAGTTCCGAACTACATATCTCAGAACTATCTCTGAACTAGTGCAAAAGGAATGCAGAGCGGGACAGTTGAAACTTGCGATGTAAATGTGCAAATGCTCACTACTCGTACAATACGAAAGTAGCTCAGTGAGAAGACCTCCGACTCAACTATCGTTAGTCGCGAGTTCAAATCGCGGTGGAGGCAGTTGTGAGTTTTCAAATTTAATGAATTCAAATTATTGCGTGCAGCATACAATATTTTTTTTTTTTAATAGAATATATAACAAAAATGGAATCTGTACAAGAAAAGAAAAATCGAAAAAAATATCCAAAAATCGAATCTCAAATACGTTTTCTGATGTCGACAATGGTGTATGGTGTCAAGTTAGCACCACATACCATTTTTTCTTAAAAAACGAGAGCTACAAATTTTTTCTTTCCACAACAAATTTACAACAAAAACACTACAATTAATGCCGTAGTTAACTTTTCCAATTTCGAAAAGTGTAGTGCTAACTCGACACACGTCTAATATTTTCTTATACTTATATATGTATGTACATTAGACTGCATCACGAAAAAAAGTTGCTGTTTTTCCGCTGGGGTTACAAAAGTTATTATATTTTAAGACATCCACCAAAATATTTCGGAAAAATATTAAGATTTAAGCGAGCTGGACCGATTTGAAAATACCTCCAAAAATGGAGTTTTTTATGAATAAAAATAGTTTCTTAAAGAACTTTTTGAAAAAAGTCCCCTCAGATGACAAAACAGATTAGGCTTAAAAAATCTGCATAAAAATATTTAAAAATCTTTTCAACGGAACCGTAATAATGAGATTTTTGATGCTGTTTTTTTTTACTTTTTTAAAGATTGATTCACGAAAAACTTAAATAACTGGGCCAAAACTATTCTGATTTAGACTTATGGGATCTCGGTAGAAAGGTATTGTCCCACTTTTTTTTATTTATGAGCAAAAAAGGTCATTCGTGTCCCAATATTTTTTTTTTCAAATACCAACACATGTTAATTCCACTTTGAATGACGTTCGTTCATCCTACCTTTCTTTTTCATCCTTTGAATGAGTTTATTAGCAAAGAAATAAAAAGGGTGAGAAAATACCTTTCCAATAATACCTCACAAGTCTAAATCGGGAGAGTTAAGGTTCAGTTATTCAAGTTTTTCTTATACCAATCTTTGAAAAAAGTTAAAAACAGCATCAAAAATCTCATTATTACGATTCCGTTCAAAATTTTTTTTAAATTTTTTAAAAATATTTTTATGCAAATTTTTTAAGCTTGAACCGTTTTGTCATTTGAGAGGATTTTTTTCAAAAAAAAATTTTAAGAAACTATTTTTATTCATAAAAAACTCCATTTTTGGAGGAATTTTAAAATCGGTCCAGCTCACTTAAATCCTAATATTTTTTCAAAATATTTTGGTGGACGTCTTAAAATATAATAGATTTTATAATTCCAATGGAAAAACAGTACCGATTTTTTTTTGTATGGGGAGTGATGCAGTCTAATGTACATACATACGTATATTCAATATTCGATAATCTGATATTTCTCTTCTAGAGTTCATCAAGTGAGGATAGCTCAGACGACGAAACAGAGGTCAAAACACCAGCCAAACCAGCACAAAAAGCTGTGCCTGCAAAACCCAAAGCTGTAGTTAAGAAAAAGGATGATTCAGATAGTTCATCTGAGGAAAGCGAAGAAGATGCAAAACCCACGAAGGCTGCACCGCTTAAACCCAAAGTTGTTGCTAAAGCCGCAGATACCTCAGACTCTGATTCGGAGAGTGAGGAGGAAAAACCGAAGGTTGCTGCTGCAAAGAAACCCGTAACAAAAGCAGCTGTGGTTGCCAAGAAACAGGAATCTTCGAGTGAGGAAGACAGTTCTGAGGAAGAAACAAAAAAGCCAGCCAAAAAGGTGGCCCCAGTTAAGAAGGATTCTAGTTCGGACGATAGTTCGGGTGAAGAAGAAACGCCAGCAGTCTTGCCTGTAGTTAAGAAGAATGTAGCCGCTGCTAAAACAACAAAGGACGATTCTAGTAGTTCAGAAGACTCATCAGAGGACGAAGCACCACCAGCAAAGAAACCAGCACTGGCCGCCAAGACTCCAGCAAAAAAGAAAAAATCAAGCTCTGAAGATTCGTCATCGGACGATGAACCACCACCCAAAAAGCAAGCAGTAGGTACTGTGAAAGCTGCTGCTTCTAAGAAAGCTGAAGCCTCAAGTGATGATAGCGATTCGGATGATAGCGAAGATCAAAAGCCGAAGCCCACACCAAAGGTCCTTGCTCCAGCAAAGAAGAAGGATAGCAGCTCTGACGATGACGACGAGGATGATGATGATGACGATGATAATAATCAGGAAAAGGTACAACAAAAGCCAAATCCTAAAGTTGGAGAGAAAAGAAAATTTGATCAATCTGCTGCTGGACAAAATCAGGCTAACAAGAAATATAGCAATTTTGTAAAGAGTGGCGAAGGCAAGGTAAGCTAAATACGTGGATGTAATTATACATAAATGTGAGTAAATAAGTTATTAAATTTTATGTGGATTTGGAGAAAAATAGCTAAAAACCGTTCACCATATTTAGGAGCTTAAGCTGTCCTTTCCCGATTTTTGTCGTTCAACCGAAATCGACCCATGTAAATGGCCGTTAAACCGTAAAATGTGAACGTTTTGTCCAGTCGATTTTACAGTCGACAGAAATCGACCCGTGTAAAGGCAGCTTTACCCTCCCCTCACAATATTTAGTAAATGATATTTTTTAATTCAAAACTAGGGAGTATATTTCGAAAAATGTTCATCAGTTTGGTGCTTTATAATGTAGATCAATTCACTTTCCTTAGAAATACTGCAACTCAAAGAAATGGAGTGCAAGTTTCAACCGGCTAAAAAATTGCGTTGATTTTTGAGATTTTTTTTTTCGATAACTGGCGTTGATTTTTTGAAATCTTGTGGCTAACGGTTTCCCGCATTTTATGTCATAAGAAATTCTTGATTATATTGAAAAAAAGTGCAAAATCCGTAACAAAAAATTCTCAGAAATCATCGAGATTTTTAGTCGTTTAAAACTTGCACTTTATTAGACCAAATTTGTATGGGCTATAAAACTGTATACCCAAAAATGTTCTAAAGATTCAGATTAAAAACTTGAAATTTTGATGAAATTTTGTTGAATTTTCCTAAATTTTGTATAAAGCTTAGACGGTGTTTTTTAAAACAACAAAAAAATTTAGCTCGAAAAACATTACCAATATTTAATAAAAAGAAAACGGGGTCATTTGTTTGAGCTACAGTATATTTTGATAAGATTTTTAATGTATTATTTCAAATTTTAAAGCAGCAAAATGGCTTTTCATCTTCACCCAATTTCAATGGAAAATCAAAAATAAACGAGCAGAGAAATTCAGGTGGTGAAATAAAGAAAAATACACCATTTAGGCGCGTGCGTGAGGAGGAGGTAGAAATAGATGCACGTGTAAAAGATATGTCTTTCGAAGCCAAGGTAAGTGCCTCAAATAAAGGTTACAACGTGGGTGAAATGTAGGACGAAATTGTTCTTGTTGTGCTCCGAAATGATTGCAAGCAACTGAAAATGGAATTCACAAATTTATAGAAATCGGTACAAATTAATGTTGAGGCTGAGGCACTTACTTGATTTCGGGGGATTTATGCCTTTGACATAAAACCTGAAAATATTTCTTATCATTAAAATCTTTTAAATCTCTGCATTTATAACAGAATCTGTTTATCTGGAGTGTAATATCCAAAAACAGATTCTGTGTCTTTTGAATTGGTATTTTTCAAAAATAAAATAATTTGTGTTTCCTTTTTCATGTGCTGCATTCTAGAGTGAAGGTGGAGACTTCAAGAATAAGAGAGGTGGTGGCGGTTTTGGTGGTCGCGGCGGCGGTTTTGGAGGCAGAGGTGGCGGCGGCTTTGGTGGCAGAGGAGGCAGGGGTGGCCGAGGTGGTGACGGTGGCGGTGGCGATGGCGATGGTGAGGGTGGCGATGGTAGCTTCAAAAAGTTTGGTGATAGAAAATCATTTGGCGGTTTTGAGAATGGCGGCGGCCGTGGACGCGGTGGTGGTGGTGACCGAGGCGGTCGGGGCCGCGGTGGCTTTGGTGGTGACCGTGGCGGTCGCGGTCGCGGTGGCTTTGGTGGCGACCGTGGCGGCCGTGGAGGTGGTCGAGGCGGATTCGGAGGAGGTGGTGATCGTGGTCGGGGCGGTTTCGGTGGACGTGGCCGTGGTGGTTCGGGACGTGGAAATTTCGGCGGAGCGAATAAACCCTTCAACAAGTCATTCGACTCAACATCGAATAAGAAAATCACTTTTGACGATTAGACAAATGCATTGCAATGTATTTTAAGGACACAAATTAGCAATTTCGTTTACGTTTCACCGACTTTTCTTTTATTAAGACTATGCAAAACCTTAATTTTATTGCTTTACAGAGAAATGCATCTGGTTCGTGGGGTGAACGAGCTAACAAAGATTTGAAATATACACGTGGAAAGTCGTTTAAGCACGAGAAAACTAAGAAGAAGCGTGGAAGCTATCGGGGGGGCCAAATTGACATGGGTGTAAACTCAATCAAATTTGAATAAAAAATTTACTATTCGCTTCATCGCATGCATAGAAATGCTAATTAAAGAAAAAGTTTAAGATATTTAATTATAGTTTAGTTTAAGTTAACTGATTACATCAGCATTGTATGTACATATGTAGTTATACAAAATGTATGTATGTTTTCAACGTGACAAGTAAATATTCTTGAGATATCGGACCATTATTAAGTCTTTAATCTGAATGATTTGCAAATGTACAACCTTAACATACGTACATACATACTTAACTGTAACTGATCCATAATTTCTAAGGTAGTTTTGATGCTGTGTGGAGTCAAAATTATTTATTAGACTAACGTTAAGTAACATTTTATTTTCTGAATACATATTTTATACAAAATATAAATGTATAAATGGACTTAGAAGATGAATTCTTTTATTTAATGGAATTTAGGTGTTGTATTAAAGCATATATAGACGGCAACGTTGATCCGGATTAACGCCGCAATTGATCTGATCAAAATTATGCCTTGACCGATGGCACTCATGCGAATTTACGATCTGCGAGGTCGTAGGTTCCCACGGCCAGTAGAATATTCATTTAATTTTTTTTTATTCATTCAATTATAACTTCTATATTTTTTCAAAGTTGTTTTTAATTAAATGTTTTTGACTCTTTTTTAGTAAAGTTTGGGAATTAACTCTAGGAGTAAGGGCCGGTTGCTCAAAGCCTGGTTAACACTAATCCCCGGTTAAACAGCGTTATCGACGTTACCGACAGAATGTTATATGCATGGAATCGAAAACGTTGATAACGATTGTAATCGATGATTAGTGTCAACCAGGCTTTGAGCAACCGGCCTTTAGTCCGGATCAACTGCAGTTAGTTCCCGAGATCAACGCTGCCGTCTGTTTAAGCTTTTACTCAATCTTTCTGTGACCAGAAGCAATACTCGCTTAAGTTGTCAGGCTTACTAAATATAATGCGTCATATGCCAGAAGTTTTAAATGAAATTTGTTGAGCATATTGGAGAGTTGTTGGATAATGATGCTGCAGTGACGGATATAAATCTGAATGGTTCCGGTTACGTAGACTCATCGGAGCGAATATTGGGAGAGTTTCCAATTTCGCTTTAACCTGGTAATACATAATCGGCCCTACAACAACATAAGGCGGAATATTGGTAAGTGTGACATGCGCAAGCATCGAAATATACCAAAGTCTTTTAAACAATCCTCTCCCACTGGGACTAAATCGATCGACTGCGAATTAATTGGGTTGTCTACAATTGTCATTAATTTTTTGAAATCAAGCATCCAAACAGCGAAATAATAAGCAAGAAACTGGGCTCGAATCGTAACATCCGTTCACGGATCGAAAACGATACGAAAGAAAATTACGTGATACGTCAGGCAGTATAAGCAGGGCTCGAATCGTAACATCCGTTCACGGATCGAAAACGATACGAAAGAAAATTACGTGATACGTCAGGCAGTATAAGCTGAATGGGAAAAAGAGTACGTTCACGTATGTCATAATCCAAAAAATGTGTTTTTACGTGACGAGTAGTACGATATCGTATGTGACGATTCGAGCCCTGAGTAAGTCTCTGGCTGTTTTTATTGTTATTGGCGTCCGCCAGTTGGATTGTCGTGCGTTCCCACGACAGTCGGGTCTACGTAACCGGAACGACCCAGATTTATATCTGGACAAGGACTGTCACTCCAGCAACACCCCAAAAACTCTGGGGAATTTGTATGCTGTTCCAACAATAACAATGAACTGTGGTATCCATACTTTTTATCACAACTGGTCGCAACTGTTACTATACGCTTCATACCCAGGGATGCATTGCGCCGCAACATCCCGGACGAAGCAGCAGCCGTAGGAAATGATCGCAACCATCAATGCCAATGTGATCAGACGGTACCGCATTCTTCTTATTTGGCGCTGTAACCGCCTAAGCGATTTTAGCCGAGTTCAACAAAGCACGCCAGTCGTTTCTCTTCTGTGCCAACTGACGCCGATTGGAAATGCCAAGTGAAGCCAAGTCCTTATCCATCTGGTCTTTTCATCGCAGTGGGGGTCTCCCTCTTCCTCTGCTACCACCAGCGGGTTTCGAGTTGAATACTTTCAGAGCTGGAGCGTCGGTGTCCATTCGAACGACACGCATTAGGGATCTCAATTTTGAGATTATAAGCGGACAAAATGTGAGGAACATCTAAAGACCTGCAACTTCGCCGGTGGTGCAAGTAAGCTCTTTGTTCAAACCAGACGAAGTACAAAGACCGAGTGTCGTATCACATTTGGTAATTTTACTTCGTCGTTCCCGATGAAGCGCGCGCCAAACAACGGCTGCGCAAACTTCTCAACACTAACGATGAAGTTCGGTTAGTAACCGGAAAGGCTAAAAGCCTATGAGCAAAGCCATTGGTCGGAACGCTCTAGACATGCTGATGCTAAAACATTTGGGAGCAGCGGGAGTAAATTATCTCACCAGGGACATCCAGGAAATCTGCCAACGTAGAGTCATTGCCCGGCACCTCTATTTTCCCCAAGAGTAAAGACAGTTGAGGCCTTGATACTTCAACTCATTCACACAACATCAGCGGGCACTGGGGTATATAAGAATGTCTTCCCTAAAGTGCACACTTAGTGTCAGCACGGCACTTAATGCCATAAACGCATAGATAGATAAATCGTGATATTAATTAAAATCGCCTATTTGAGTTGGTTTCTCCATAAACTTTCGACGGACTCAGTCACTCAGTTCTTCTTACAGACATAGACAAATCTTCTCTGCCACCTGAAATGAGGCGTTGGTTTGCGAATTACCTGAGCGGCCGACACTTATCGGCCGCGTTTTGAGGTGTAACCTCTAAGCCCTGAAGGATTAAAGAGAGAACCCTGCAG